ATCACTCCTTGTGTATCAAAGCCCAGTAAAATCAGAGACTCCAGATAGGTTAGCATTGTACCATATTCACCCGCCTCCCCTCAGGCTGTCCTCTGTGAGCAGATTTCTGAGGTTCTCCCTTGACTTTGTCACCGTGCAGACAATATGAGGGTGACTCCTTGTGACTCACCTCTGGTAAAAGGCAGGGGTCATTCTGTAAAAGCAAAATCCGAAGCTGGGCCTCGTTGAGGCCAAACAGTCCATGGTTTTTCAGGACTTGGATGTTGACAGGTGTGTGGATATCATGGGAAAGGGTACAGGTAGACCTAGAACACAAAGGTCTGGATCAGAGGCCCAGGTGAAGAACGGGCCAGTATGTCTAGGGCTGCTTTCAACTTGCAGGTGAAGTTAAATAATTTTCCATGAACGCATAGATACCACAGCCTACCTAATAAGCTCTGATAATAAGAAAACTGGGTTGCATCAACTCCCCTCCCAGAGTTATTTTCATTCAAAATGAAGCTTCTTGAAGGCCAAGGGTACCCCCTCCCCCAGTCCCCTGCCTTGAAAGAGGGTGCCCGCCAATTCTACACTGGCCTTCTCCACCCCAAACGGCTGCCTACCCGCCCCGCCATCCACCAACCTTAAAAAGAATGCATGCCCCCTCCCCACCCCCACTTTGGGGAGCTAGAGTAAACCAGGGAAGACCGGTCAGGAGGCAGCCTCAAACGGCCTCTCCCAAGTCATCCAGCTCTCCGTTTCCTGTGGGGGTCGGACTAGATCGCGCTTTCTAAACCTGGAGAGCACAGGCTCGCTTCTGTAAAACTTTCTGCTTATGTGGGAAGGGCCGATCTCTGAATAAAGCTTCCATGAATCTCGTGGGATCCGAAAATGGTCCCAAAAGAACCACTGGAGTAAATGAAATCAAAAGTCCCAATCCTGATTTATCCTGGCCTTGCTGTAGAGGATCCCGGGAGGCAGAAGCTGCAATTGGGAGCGGGGAAAGCGGTGCTTAAAAATTCCAAACTTTAACGATCTTCGGCCTCACTCTGCAGCGAAGCCGGGACGCGGGGA